TCTTTGTATTTAGGAATCATTCGTGAACAGTTTTGCATGGGGGTGTGGCTTAGTGTGCAACAAAGTGTAGTCAGTTTAACGATTTCTTTAACTTTGCCTGTCAGTGTTTGTATGTTTGACCAGCCAGTTCATGCCTGTATATTCTCGGTGTGTCTGCAAATGTTTCTTCCACAACTGAAAGCCAACGCTCAGATGGAACATAAATAACTTGAAGAGTGCGATTGTATCCTATGAGACATAGTTCTTTATTAAGTATTTCACATACAGTGCCACTCACATACAAGCATTTACTTCACAGTAATACAAGGTTACATACAGGGTCTCAAATCCATAAACAATCCGATTTGTGATTTATTGAATGTTTGTTACCATGGTGACTCTTAACACACTTAAAAAAAAAAAATCTATCCTCGTCTATGCTGCCAGGAACATTTAACAAATGAACAGTAGCCAGTTATCAAAAATGAAAAGGAAAAAAAGTCACGAGAAAAAGAAATGAAATTGAAAATTTGAATGTTTTTTTTGAGCATTCATACTCTGCACATTTTACACGGGTTATCTGACGTCCCAGCGGTTCCCTCCTTTAGGTCGATTAGGTTGGATATGGGAGAATAATGACATTTGGTGTCCAGTGACGAACTGACTCTGGAAGCAAACTGTGGTTTGTTTTATGATGAGTGGGATTGATACTGTAATGTAATGGCTTTGTTTCCTATGGTAATCCTAACCAAAGGAAACAAACCCAAAACAAAACTGTACGGTCAGAACGTCTAACAGAATTCAGATGTCAGGACAAAACCAGAGACATTTTCAGCTTTTCTTCACATGCAGTCAACTGGCACAAAGACAAAACAATGCCAAAGTTACAAGACATGGTTGTTTTGACAAAAGACTGCATATAAAAGATGGAGGCGGTTTAGGTCTGAAAGTAAAGCCAGTGTAGAAATGCCTTGAACCTGCATTCTTTCATCTTGTAAGTTTATGGTGTCAATTAGTAGCTTCAAGCTTTTAAAAAAAATACAGCATGTTCACCTTGCAAATTATAGTCCAATTTAGAGTAAAATAGATGAAAAGGCTGAGTAAGCTGCACAGCATGGACACCTTTTCACTGGCTAGGTGTTATTTTTTTGATTATTTAAAAAGAAGTGTATGGGCTCAGTCACTCATCTCGGGTCACACGAATAAAAAATGTGTTTATTCAGTAATGCGGCGAATCGTGTTTTAAAATGGAAAGAATATCACTGGCTAACGATTTTATGCCATCCGTTTGTTTTGCAACCAGGACATCTGGAGGCATCAAATTGGGACTTGAAAAACCACTGGGTGATGTCACACATGCTGCTGACAGTTGAAATGCTCCGTTTGAGGCTTGTACACTGGTCTTCACATCCATGTGGGTGACGTTATTGTGGTTTCATCTATGTTTTATATATATATTCCAGTCTATGGTTTACCAGCACTAACAGACTACTTTGACCCTTAACTTGTGACCCTAACGAACACCTTCTTGAGGAGTTTCTAGTCTCAGTTTGAAAATTTGAAGTATTATTTAAAATGGTAAATGGTAAATGGCCTGCATTTGTATAGCGCTTTTATAGTCCCTAAGGACCCCAAAGCGCTTCACACTACATTCAGTCATTCACCCATTCACACACACATTCACACACTGGCGATGGCAAGCTATATTTAATACAACATGGTGTTCACTTTTTGTAAATACAGTCCTTTGTAAAGAAAAAAAGCCACTAAAGAAAAATATGAGACC